TTTTTAAAAAGCCTGTTTTAGGTACATCTTCCTGACGTACTCCCCAAAGTAACAATTCTGAAGGACAAAGAATAACTCTATCAACTTACAAGAAAGATGTATCATTCTTGGCAGGACTTCTATTTTGGCATTCCACCATTCTTGCACAAAGTTTAGTATGAGGCTTAAGTCATTCTTGTGCCCTCAACCACCCAACCTCCAGGAGAGGGCTTGGGTCCCATGCCTCAAGTACCCACAGGGGAGCTACCCACTGGAGGACCAGACAGGGAAGCAAGATGTCAAAGGGAACTTTGACTAGATCTCCCCAGTGAGCAGAAAGATGGGAACATGGTAACAACTACCAGAGATAATGTATTTTGTAGAAATCATCTTGTTAATAAGTATCTTGAGTTTCTATAAAGATAGAATTCTCTCTGGCAAGCTGTTGCATTTTTATGCTTACATAGTGGAACCACCATATGGAGAGCTATTTAAAGTCAAGAACCCCCCTATTGAAGGAGATTCTTAGTGGATAGGCTTATAAAAGTATATACGGAGAATTGGATGGCTGCCTTGCCAATAGTGGGTATGGAAAGCATGTCAGAGGTTCAGCACTGGTTTTCTTGTTCTCAAGTGAGAAGGCTGTAATTTTGAGGGAAAGGAGGAAAAGAGAATAGAAGATTCCTTCTGAAAATAATAGAAGTCTATTAGCCATCTGAGGTAGTTATTAGAATACACTGTCTGATTATACTAAAACTAAATGCTATGGAGAGCTATTAATATTCCTATAGTAGAATCTGTTTTTCTGCCTACCCAGTATCCATACCACTTTCTTGTGTTAGAAGTTCAATTTTCCTTTGGGTAGAGATGACCTAATTCAGACTGATGAGTGTTGGGCTCAGGCCCAGGCCCAGGCCTCAGCCTCATGTAACCTTGAGAAAGGTGTCCTCCTTGTACTGGGGTTATTATGCTAGTGGACTGTAAACCTAGAGCCGGTGGTGGTCATTTTTGGGAAGAGAATGGTGCCAATATAGAATATAGCAGAGTTGACAGATGAATTAACCCAGATTTCTGTTATCATTGTGTGAATACCTAGGTGCAGCTATCTCTGAATTTTTCAGTTATGCAAGCTAATAATTTTTCTTTTTTAAAGCTTAAGACCATTTGAGTAGAGTTCTATCAGGTGCAGCCAAAGAGTCTTTCCTGGTGAGAAAAACAAATAGAACCTTCGAGAATAGAAAGGATCTTCTTGTCGAGGGGAAGTGATAGTCTGAGGTAGAGTGCACTGTGAGACAGTCAGGGCCTCAATTCAGGTGGCTGACTGAAAGAGGTACCCAAGGAACTAAAGACTGTGGCAGCACAGGGTCACTGTCTTAAACCCCACTCCAGATCACACAGCATTTAATAGTGAGCGGTTTCCATCTCTTCACCTGTCTTTTCTCTGATCTTAGCAACTTCACCAGCAGAGTGAGTTCTGGGACATGAACAAGAAATGGCTCAATTTAGAGGGAGGAGGACTTTGTAGGTGATGGTGGAGTTGAAGAAGAAATATTTATACACCAAGTCCAGGCATGTACTATTGATCATTTTGCTTTGAAAGCTTTCTCAACTAGGACAGGATCTCTTGTGGTTGCCACCAAAGTATCTACATGCCCTGTTATCCACAATTATCTGGTCCGGTGACCATTTGTTTCTGTCTTCCACTGTGTGATTTAAAAATCTACTATTCCATTGCCTGCCTTTGTCCAAGTGATCTGCTTCAACAGCCTCTGTTTGATACCTGGAGCTAGATTTGAGAAGCAGATGGGGGAGGCACCTTGTTGATTCCATATAGAGTGGGGAGCTTTGCCAGGGCCTTTCTTGTGGGTAAAAGATTGCCATTAGTTCTGAAAAGCTACGGAGACCATGTGTACCTGACAGCTGTTTATTTGAGCCGTAAGGCCAAATAAGGTCCAAGTGAACAGGAGGTTTACTTCTTAAGATTGTGTAGGTGTTAAGAGAGTGGCTAAAGGTAAGTTCCTCCAATCTATTTTACTGATAGTCTATTCCTCCTACTCTTCATAAAGAATTCCCTTCTAAGGCTGCTTTTCATGAAGCATTTCAGAGACATAAAGGGGAAGTGGGACTCCATAGGCAATTTAGTGGGATCCAGATTTTGAGGATCTTTAGGCTTCGACAGTGGAGATGGGGCAAACTGGATTTGATAAAGAAAAGTATATTTTAGAGAGGAAAGAAGATGCTTGGTCTAAGAAAAAATATTTAACTATTTCCATATATGTAGCTGTCCTTTCTAAAATTTCTTAATATATATTCCTCAGTTTTGGGAATAGTAAGCAACCTTCTTTGTTCTTCTTCCTTTTTTTTTTTCCTGCGAAGATACTCCCTGAGCTAACATCTGTTGCCAATCTTCTTTTTTTGTGCTTGAGGAAGATTAGCCCTGAGCTAATATCTGTGTCCATCTTCCTCTACTTTATATGTGGGACATCGCCACAGCATGGCTGGTGAGTGGCATAGGTCTGCACCCGGAATCTGAACCCGCGAACCTGGGCAGCCAAAGTGGAGTACACGGAACTTGAACCGCTCAGCCACGGGGCCAGGGCCTCTTTGTTCTTTTGTACAAAGATTGTTTTCTACAAAGTTGCTCAGACTAGAATAGTAGCTATATATGATGTGTTTAATTTTTGACTAGGACCAAATCAACCTCTTCACTCTCTCTTCCTCCTTAGTTACTTAATGTATTATGTCAAATTACTGAGCTACTTTCTGGCTAATTCACCATTGTGACACCAAACTTAGTTTAGACAATGGATCTAGAATGGTACAGTTACCATATGTCACAGAATTTTAGGTACTGTCCTTATTTTAAACATTCTATTCTACTGTCCTCATATAATGATAATAATATCCTTAATTACCAGATGATGCCTCTTGATTTGGGGTCTGGTGTGGAAACTTTCATCTCTATACACATAGCCCATGCTCAAGCTCAAATAACTCTCTCACTTAGGTTATAAGGCACCCAGGTTACAATCTCAGGATACAATAAAGTTGGCACTGAGATTCCTTCTTAGAAGATCAACAAAATTAGGTTAGAGACAGGAATACAAATTATATGAGATAAGTAGAGAATGCACAGGAGGTCTTCTATCAGCTCAGATTTCCCCTTGGAGAGGGAAGCCCAGAGATAGCAGAGTTTCATGCTAATAAGAATAAACAAAAGGGGAAGGAGGCCAATTCACAGTTGATAAATTTTGAGGAAAGGGAAAAACCTCCTTAGCTGATAACAATACTAAAGAGTTGATTAGCCCCTAAATTACTCGGTGGTGTCTCTGCAGACTTGGCCCGCAGTTTTGCTTCCCTCTGAGAGTCTGTAACCTCCTCAAGGTAATCTCCCGTTAGAAGACAAAACTTGAAATAGATGATCTAGGAGGAAGAGATGCTCTCCTCCCTCCCCAGGCAACAGAAAACAATGGGGTCAGGGATTCTTGGGGAAAAGTAATGAGGGAAGTTGCCATCTGGGCTGCGCTTCAGAGAGGATTAATGCTGCCATTTCTACAAAGCGCGTGGTTAAGAGGAGTCAGGGGCAAGAAGGTATTATTAGACAGGAAAAGCTAAGGACCACCTAAATCTATCAGGAGCAGAAAGAAAAGGAGGCTTTAGCTCAGAATCTGTGGCTCAATGTTCTTGATAGTCCAGGTTAAAAGAAAATCGAGAAAACAGTGAGTAGTCTACTAAAAACTAAAGGGTAGAATTGCGGCTCCTTGTCAGGAAGACGAGACACAAATAACATTTGGTTTGAGAAGGACTATAGGCCCAGCCTAGTGTGTGTGCACGCATGTGCGTCTGTGCGTGTGTGTGTGTGCACGTGTGTGTGTGTGTTGGGGGGATGGAGGAGGTCGACAGTTGATTCTGGTTACTCTGCTTCCTAAAGAACAGTAGTTAGGTCCACTCTATGCAGAAAAGAAAAGGATGTTCAATCTTCTCTGACAACCTTCTACGATTTCAACTGGTCAAGATGAGCACTTTTGAAAGCAAAAGAAAAAAACTGGATAATAATAGCTGCTACTTACAACATACTATGTGCCTGGCAATATGCTGAGTACTTTACATACATTCTCTCACTTAATCTTTCCGAAACTCTTTTATTCCTATGTTATAGATGAAAGAATTGAAGTTTAAAGAGATCAGAATCTTGTGTAAGGTCTTACCAGTACTACGAGGTGCAGTGAAGATCTGTCTGACTCCAAAACCTGCACTCTTAACCCACACTGTATTGCCGTGTGGACGTTCCCACAAGAGCAAATGGAATGAAGGAGCAGGTAGAGAAACACATCCTAACTCACAGAGCAAGTGACCACAGAGATCCAGATGGGAACGAAATCCTTTTCGAACAGCTATCGGGAGCAACTATTCCACCCCCCGAGAAGTAACCACCAACTCTCACTCTATTCTTTGAAATTAAAATTCAGTAGCATGAAGGATGTGCACAATGGGCAAAATAATTACTTCTTAACCAAGGGCTTATGTTGGGTGGAATTTCACAATCTTTTTAATAGGGTGTAAAGTTTAGAATAAAAAGATACTGGAAGTACAGCTTCAAGGGGACTCTTTTCTGTTACTCTTTTATTTTTTCCATCCATGCCTTTCAACAGAAGAGCTTGGAAAATGCCTGTCATCTTTTGGAATGTTTAGTTATTAAAACACTGCTTTAGAGCTCCCAATACACAGACTCCTAAATACTGTAGCCTGGAGAGTTGTCGCCTGGAGGTTAGGAAAAGGAATGGAGAACAATGCACATTATACAGCAGCTTGGTTACTTTGCCTTTTCCCTGAATGATAATAATCTTGCATTTGTTTCACGGAAAATAGGGAGCAACATCACTCTATCGGCACTCAGAAATTTTCAATCAATCTAATCTATGGGGATCAGATTTTTTTCGGCAACCGATAAGTATGTCCTCGCTGTAACTTATCAACCTGTGCTCTGGCACACGCTTATCTTCACGCTCAGCATTTCTTACCTCCTTCATTGTCCTTGCTATCTGTGCAAAGGGTCTCCATGGCTACATCACACCCTGCTCCTCTCCACCCTGGCTGGCAAACACAATGCCAGCCGTTTTGGTCCAGCGTACATCTCCCATTGCTGTTGCATAGACCAGGACAGCCCTCTGTCAAAAGAGACAAAGAAGGAAAACACAAGTGATTTGAGTACTGAAAGTTTTTGCACCTGAAATAAACAGATAAGGGACACTTAGTGGGAACAGGCCTCTATAAACAGCACAAATACTGTAATTGCACATGGATAGGAACAGCAACGTTATCTAAGGAATCTAATTCTTATCCAAGTGGCATCTTTGATTGGCCTGATCCTTGAGACACCACTTACCTGTGCAGGACAGAAATATATGCAACGATCCCCTGAGTAGCTGCAGGCCAGACAAAATTAACTTAAGTTTTTTTCCTTTAGCAAAGCAACAAGGTTGATTGTATGGTGTGAAAAAGCATCTCAACAAGATAATTTCAGAATCCCTAGCACAGATTTTTAATTACCGGTCACTCATTAGGACATGCCTTCTTAGAGCACCTTGTTGCTTTAAAAAATCCCCTCTAGATTCAAAAGCATGAAAGTGGGTATGAGGCTATGAATGATGTTAAAAAGAGAACATTAATTTTATCTGGCCTCAGAGTTGCCGTATATTCATGTGAAATTACAGCGCATTAAATAATTGCACAAAGTATAGGCCAGTCTTAATGACTATACTTTATGCCAAGAGTACATTCCTTTTCACAGAATAAGCAGAGCCCAGGAAATAGAGAAGCAGCTTAGCGTCTATTCTAACAAACATCAGGATTCAGGCTGCATACGGATGGGACAGGACCGACAGGATTTCCAACTAAATGTAATAGCTGTGCATATTCGATTACTTAGGACGGACAAAATGAAATACCATAAGGACCACAATAAAACATTGATAGACCGAACAAAAACACGGTAGTGACGTGCTTCAAGACAGAGCGAAGAGTGATAATTTGTGACAATCTCCCTAAGGCTTTTATGCTGTTACCTTTATATCCTATCTTGTCTGCTTTTATGGGCAAGGAGGGAAAATTTGGGAAACAATTAAAATAATTTAATATATCCAAAATCTATAATTGTTTCAGTCTAACATGACATTTAAGAAAAAAAAAAACAATTTTTGCCACTTCCTACTGATGATATCTGGCATGCAGCCAAAATGATCTGATTATGAGGATGACACTTCAGTCGATTCTGGTGTTCTTGTCTATGAGCGTGATATGACACTGACAGAAACAAGGATATAAATGCTCTAAAATTGTAGGAACAATTGGCTATTAATCAGATCTCTTTCGACAGAATTACTTATAATTTGGTATAGAATATATATTAGCACAAATACTCGCTTTAGCAATTGGGGTTTGTTATACAGCATCTTATAATTAGAATGCTATTCTTTTTTCAAAATTTAAGAGAATAATCTGTTTAAAGATGTTTAAGGCTGTATTAAAAGAATTATTCATATATTGGCTTCCCCTCCTCCACTGCAGAACTTGAAATGAAAATATCTCCAAGAGACATTCTGTCTCTTAAGATTAGAGTTAAAAGAAAGAAGCATATTTTGACAGTCTCTGTGGCAGGTTATAATGAAATTATACTTATGGATACCATCAGGTCAAGATAAGATTAATTTTGCTGCTTCTTTTCTTTCAGACAATTACCGTCTGTAGTTACGGATTATTCAATACACAAAAGGTGAATTTTCCTTATGGATGTTTTTGTTTTGTTTTGTTTTGAACGAAAAAGAAAGATTTAATTGCCCCACTGACTCAAAGGAGTACAGCCGCTGACTGCGTGCACACAGAATTATTATATGAAAGCCTGGATATTGCCATGAATATTTTCATATTCTAATGAAAAGCACAAACAAGGAATAGAAAATAGGTAATCTGAGGAGAAAGGGAAAGGGAATTTTCTCTTCTGAAAAAAAATATTTTCCACCTATTTCAACAATAACTGAAGACATGAGAATCTGCTGTTTTCTGCTGAGCAGTGTTATCATTTCTGTTTTATAGAATGCACAATATTTTGTAGTTTTTTTAGAAAATAAATTATAATATCACATATATTTTGAAACATTCAGAAAAAGCCAAAGAAGTTTCCATATAAGGGTAAATGAGATTTCTCTCAACATATGTTAACCAGAAACTTCTTTAGACTGACAATTTCTTATTCTGTGATAAGAGAGTGAACATTTGTGACACTTTAATTTAGAATTTAAAGTTCATTAGCTGAATTGCCAACAATGAAGATCTTAAAGCAAAAAAGAAAAAACAAAACAAAAAAAACACCATAAACAAAAAACAGCAAATGTACTATGATCTTCAGTTTTTGGTTCCAGTGAAAACTAATGCTTTTACACAGGAATGAAATCTGTGATAACCCAAAATTATAAAAATGAGACGCAGACATGTAAGTCTCAGTGCTTTAAATCCAAGGAATTTCACGTAACGTAAGCCTGATTGATAATTTACAAAAATATGCATGAAAAACAGCCTATTTTCATACCTAGTGTGATCTGATACACGGTTATATATAGATATATATGTAGATATGTCAACAAAGAGCAAGGATACAGTACCTTTAACTATCTTATCCAAATAGTGAGCTTGAGAAATTAAAAAGGAAAAAAGAACAGACAGACATTTCAGAAGTGTCACATGGGACAAGGAAATTTTCAGAATTTACATGCAAATTGAATCGCTGCAGCTGACACAAGACTCACATCACACGACAGAGATGCACTTCATATCTTCTAAAAATGCAATATATTCAAGTCTTAGCAAATGTAGTCATGATTCCAGGAAATACTCAGCATTTTCGAGAAAAGTATCCAGGTAAACTAACTACCTTTCACAGACTATTTGGAAAGCATCCACTTTGAAGGTTCTTAAGATTTTACTTTTAATAGCTAAGTAGAACAAATGGAATCAATTCTTCATTACTAAAGAATTTTGGAAATTTATAACTATGAGATCTACAAATAAGCTTTTTTGGGGGGGGTGAGAAAATAATTCTATTTTTTTAAAGTTTGTTTTTAACAAAGTAGTTTCACAAGAGTTACACAGTGGAAGGGCAAAAGGATGACAGAGCAGCCCCAGAGGAGCCATTTCTGTATCTTCTGATGCTGTCTTTCTTCAACCTGAGAGATAAACCCACAGAAATCCTGCTTTGTTCACCTTTTCTCTTGAGTTACTTGCATATTTACAAATAATCAAACTTGAATGATTAACAAATAAGCAAAAAAAAAAAAAAAAAGAAATTGAGAATCTTTGAGCAAATGGAGCAAATTTAATGTATTATGAAAAAAGCTTGTGTGAGTTCTGTAGAAAATGATTACCCAGTAACCCTTGATCATACATCAGATGGACAATGACGTATCCCATATGTAGTCCATTAGGAAATATGAACTGTTCTAAGATCCTGTTTCTTCTTGGGATTCACACTGGAATAGTCTGTTTCTCACAACAGCTTTGTAGGAATAGTCAGGATTAAAACTGAAGTCCTTGACTGTACCTGTCCATTTAATCTTTCACGAGGTCACAATGAGGCTACACCTTTCTTCTTGAATAGAGACATAAATACCCCTCTCCCTTCACTCAACGTGGAGACCTGATATATTCTTAATAAGCCTGAAATTTTCTTGCTTTGTCAAAATTCATACATCTTTAATGATCTAAAATTGCTTTTCAAAGATGCTTACGTTGATTATTTTTCATTACTGACATACGCAAGTGGTGGCAGAACTCTTAACAATGATTTAAACTCTAACTTTCAGTTGAGCCACTCAGGTCTCGTAGTTCTGTCATGTGCATAAACAAAACCATAAGTGGCTTTGACACGTCTGTACTGTGGACATAAAAGGATTCTTCACTTTGCCACAGGATTCCACTAGAGGCTTCTGAATTGCATTTAAAAATAAGTGTGTTTATAGCTAATTGACAATATATTGCAGGGGAAATTAAGGTGAAGAAGAAACAGCATTAGGCACTACTCCTGAAATTACAATTTAATAAAAACAATCCTATTTTCAAATACTAAAATAAAAATGTCTTATGGTATAATGTCATTCATATAATTTCTTAATAATTCTGTCTAAACATTATATAATCTAGTAGAGGCCCATAATAGCTTAATTGATGATCTGAACATAAGCCAAGTGTCATTAGAAATTCTGGAGATTCTGATTCAGATAGGTAGTGTTTCTGAGAGAATTCTTAGTTTATAAGAATTTATAAAATTAGTTTATAAATTAGTTCATAAAAAGTAATAACATAATAACAAAATCAATCATAGTTGGAGAGCAAGCCTTTTGCTTTTACATCAGGTCCACAACCAAAATAAGGAACGTAATTAATTCTGATCTAGATTAGCACTTTTAAAGGAGGAATAAGTTATTTCTAATCCAGCCAATCCCATTATTTTAGCAAACAGAATCAATTATGCAAAACCATGGACTGATTACAGATAGAGGTAGGTTTGTCATTGGGTCAAGAGAACATCAAAGGTGGAGCTGAAATTAGAAAATATATTTAAAATATATGGCAGGTCAAAATTTATGTAATGCTTTAAATATTAAAAATATTTAATACAAGTTTTGCAAAAAGTTGTAACCAACCAGAAGAAAAATATCTGTACTGAGAAAAAGATACCAAGATTTCTCATTTGCATTTTATATCAGAGGGAATAACTGTGAGCTGACAGCTTAAAACTAAGAGAGAAATGGGGGAAAATCACCACCTATATTTTGGCCTCGAAGAGTAAAATTTCTGACCATACCACAAAAGCTTGGTTCTCAATAATGAAGAAGTTAAAAGGAGACCTCGATATAGGAGGTTCAAATAATTATTAAAATAATAATTGCAACAATGAAAATATCATTATATAAGCTACTATAGGAAATAATCAGAAAAAGCAGGCATGTTGTAAGAAGCCATTAGGAACAATAATCGTAAAAATAATACGGAATATTTAAAAATTAATACACCTAACAATTGCTGAAATGCACATTAAGTTGCGAAGAAATCCCTCTGGAGACTAACCAGTGTGTTCTCATACTAAAGGCAAGTCATTGCTTTTAGATTTACTAAG